GGCGGCGCTGGCCGGCACCAGCGTGGTGGTGAAGTCGCTGAGCGCCGCCGTCCTCCTCCTCTACCTGCTCTCCTTCGGCCTGGACACGGCCTACGGCCTGGGGGTGACCCCCGGCTACCTCCTGCCCCCCAACTTCTGGGTCTGGACGCTGCTGACTCACGGGCCCCCTGGGGCCTGGCGGCCAGCCTGGCCCGCGGCCAGCGTGGCCACGCTGGGGGCGGCCGGCCGGCTGCTGGAGCCCCTCTGGGGCGCCCTGGAGCTGCTGGTCTTCTTCGCGGTGGTGAACGTCTCGGTGGGGCTCCTGGGGGCCCTCGCCTACTTCCTCACCTATGTGGCCTCCTTCCACCTCGCCTACCTGTTCACCATCCGCATCCACGGCGGGCTGGGCTTCCTCGGGGGAGTCTTGGTGGCCCTCAAGCAGACGATGGGGGACAGCACCGTCCTGAAGGTGCCCCAGGTCAGAATGAAGGCAGTCCCCATGCTCCTGCTCCTTCTCCTGGCTCTGCTGCGGCTCGCCGCCCTCGTCGAGAGCAATATACTGGCCTCGTACGGCTTCGGGCTCCTCTCCAGCTGGGTCTATCTCCGTTTCTACCAGCGGCACAGTAGAGGCCGGGGAGACATGTCCGACCACTTCGCCTTTGCCACTTTCTTCCCCGAGATTTTGCAGCCCGTGGTGGGTCTGGTGGCCAACCTGGTGCACAGCATCCTGGTGAAGGTGAAGGTCTGCCGCAAGACGGTCAAACGCTACGACGTGGGCGCCCCGTCGTCCATCACCATCAGCCTGCCGGGGACGGACCCGCAGGATGCCGAGAGGAGAAGGTACCGCTCGCCCTGCTTTCGCGGGGATCGTGTTTATGGGCAGCGAGGGTCGGGTTTAAAATCCAAATGAGGAGGAGCGGGGAGATTTGGGTGCAGGGTGCTAAGGGGGGGGCCTTCTGCAGGGGGTCTGCTGGGGGCCACCCTCCCTACCGCAGAGGTGGTGGGGAGCATTTCGGGGGGCTGGTGGAACGTTGTCCTGCTCTTTAAACACGGAGCGGCGGTGGAAGTGCAGGGGAGGAGGAGATCCATCCTGGGGAAGGGGCAGGCAGGTTTTGGGGTCAGGAGTCCCTATAGAAGGGGGACGGCAGCTGTCCCGTGGGGGGTCTGGTGGACAAGCTGGTGCACAGCATCCTGGTGAAGGTGAAGGTCTGCCGCAAGACGGTCAAACGCTACGACGTGGGCGCCCCGTCGTCCATCACCATCAGCCTGCCGGGGACGGACCCGCAGGATGCCGAGAGGAGAAGGTACCGCTCGCCCTGCTTTCGCGGGGATCGTGTTTATGGGCAGCAAGGGTCGGGTTTAAAATCCAAATGAGGAGGAGCGGGGAGATTTGGGTGCAGGGTGCTAAGGGGGGGGCCTTCTGCAGGGGGTCTGCTGGGGGCCACCCTCCCTACCGCAGAGGTGGTGGGGAGCATTTCGGGGGGCTGGTGGAACGTTGTCCTGCTCTTTAAACACTCAGCGGCGGTGGAAGTGCAGGGGAGGAACGAGGAGATCCTGGGGAAGGGGCAGGCAGGTTTTGGGGTCAGGAGTCCCTATAGAAGGGGGACGGCAGCTGCCTGGGGAGGTGCCAGCCCCCTGCTCGCAGCAGCCCCGCACCCGTCATTGTGGCGTGGGGGAAGGCGCTGAGTCGGCCACATGCCCCGGCCCTCCCGCACTCCCGGTGTTGGCCTTCCTGAGCCCCGGCAGGAAGGTTTGGACAAGGCATTGGCATTGGCGCTCCGCTTTCCCCTGCCCCGTTTTATGCCTTTCTTCCCCCGTTCCTTGAGCGGCCTGTGTGCTGTCTGACAGCCTCTGAGCGCACCACGTGGCACGAGAACTCTGCGTATGTAGTCTAGGAGCCTGAGTGGGTTTCTGCGGGGCAGTCCCAGGCGCTCTGAGTTGTCTCTAGCACCGCTGAATCCATCCTCTCCTGCCGGGAAGAAGCCAGGGGATGGCCTTGCACACTGCCCCATGGGGCAGAGCCATTAACCCCTGCCCTGCCCGTTGGACCTGGGGTTAACCTGCCCGTCCGCCCTTGCCCCGCAGGCAGCTGGCCCTGAAGGCCCTGAACGAGCGGCTGAAGCGTGTGGAGGACCAGTCGGCCTGGCCTAGCATGGAGGATGACGAGGAGGAGGCGGGGGCGAAGGCCGACAGCCCACTGCTGCCCGACCCCAGTGCGGCCGGGAAGGGCGCCGGCCAGGAGTCCAGCCTCATCACCTTCCAGGATGCCCCGTCCCAGCTGTGACCGGCCGACACACCGCCCCCCTTCCCCGCCCCATCTCCGTCGGAGAGCTGCTAACCCCCCTCGTGTTCCCCCCACGCAGCCGGGACGCTCAGCGGGGCGCGGGGACTCCTCCCGCGGCAGAGGCGGGGGGGCTACCTCATTCCAACGCTTCGTCGCTGCTCGCGGCCAGCACTGGGCGCCCAGGATGACGACGCTGCCGCCACCACAAGGACGGGGGTTCCTCGAGCAGCTCCCCTCGGCACAAGGTGGGCTGTGGATGTTGGCACTGGCAGCGGGGGATGTTCCGGCGTGGGGACGTGGGGCTGATCCAGCCTCAGGTGTGCCCCACGCGTGGCGGGCCAGCTCCCTGCCCCGAGGCTGCTGTGCTTGCCCATGCAGGAATGAAGTCAGCAGCGCTTCCTCGCTTCTCCTCTGCTCCAGGGGTTGTCCAGAGCGCTCAACACTTATTTCCTGCTTTCTGAAGGTAGTTTTGTCCCTAACCAAGGGAACGGGAAGGCTGGTGGGTTTCTTTTCTGAATCCCTTTCCCGTGGGGAGCCTCTCCCCACCCCGGCAGGAGCTCGCCGTGACCGGTGAGAGGTTTGCCAGGCAGGGGGACAGGCTGCTGGGCAGGAGGGGGCTGCCCAGCCCCACAGGGTGGTGGTCCGGCACTGCCAGCTCCGGGCTTTGCTTGTGGGGGGTTCTCTCCTCCTCCCTCTCCCACCCCCGAAGCCAGTCCTGCGAGGAGCCGGTGCCCTCAGCCGCTTCCCGGCTAATCCGTTTGTCAGATTACACTAGAAGCTGGAATTAATTTTTACGGTGGGGCTCTTGCTGCTTCCTCCAGCAGCAGGTTTTCTTTCTTGTGGGCTCCCCCTTCTTTTTCCCTCCCTCTGTGTTGATGGGCTTTTTTCTTTCTGGATGGAGAGGATGCTCCCTGCGACAGCCTCCTCACAGCTCCTGATCCCCCGGGCAGTCCACAGCCCAGGATGCGGATCGATGGTGTCGTGATTATTTTTTTAAAGGACCACACGAGAAGGTTTTGTCAACTGGGAAAAACACAGATGTTTCGGTATCAATAAAGAGTTCTTCGAAAGAGTCGGCTCCCGCGGCAGAGCGTGGGCAGGGCAGGGGGCCGGGCACAGAGCAGCCCCCGGGGGTTCTTGCGCAGGAGCCTGGGGAGGGGTTTTTTTCCCGGGTACTCCCAGCAGGTTGGGAGAGACCCTTTGCAAGCAGGAGGGGGTGGGAAGTCTGCAGGGGGGGGGATGTCTGCCCGTACCCCAGAAGCCCCCCCGGGCAGTAAAGAGGGCTTGTCGCACTGTAGCTGCCTGAAATCTTTATTGAATAAAAGCTCTGGATACAGAGGAATTTCCCAGCCCGGGAGCCGCTCCCAGCTCTCCAGCCCTGCTGAGAGCAGGGTACGTGCCGAGGAGGGGCGGTGGGGCCGCTGCAGCAGACGGAGCCTTGCAGCGCCCAGCTGCCCCGATGGCAGGCGAGCTGGAAGGAAGGCTGTTGCGCCGGCGAGGAGGTTGCCTTCTGCCTTCCTGAGGGCTGTTTCGCAGGCTGGCTCAAGGGCTCGTCCCGAGCCCTGCTCCCCCCCATGCTCGCACTGTTCCCTGTGCCCCTCAGAGGGACAAAACACCTTTGCAGGCTGCCGGTTTGCATCTCGGCTTGATAATTTGCTCTGTAAAATGACCCCCACATCCCGCCAGGCTGAACCTTCGCTGTCCCAGCCTGCAGGAAGGATTTGTGCATGGCAACGCGTGCCCGGATCCGCGGCCGTCGGGCAGGGCTGATCACACCAGTCCCGGAGAGCCCCCGGGTCCCTGCGTGGGGCCGCACCATGGGGACGGATGCCTTGGGCGCTGCCACCCCGCTTCAGGTGGGCTGAAGCCACAACCGTGCCCTGCACTTTCACTGGCCAAGCTGCCTTCGTGGCAGGAGAGGCAGCGTGGTGCCTGCTGCAGCCTCCCAGGCGAGTGGGGACTCCCTGCCCTCCTCACCAGGAATACGACAGCTCCTGTCCTGCCTGCTCCAAAGCAGCCCTGGGTGGCAAGGGAAGGGGATAAGGACCAGGAATCCTGAGTGGATCCTCCGGTTCCCAACACTGAGCACCCAAGCTGCCGCAGGGAGCAGCAGCGTTACCTGTGCTGGGAAACGTCCCCACCGAGGCAGGCATGAGATAGGCAACTCCTGCCCGCTCGGTGTCACACACATCATAGCTGCTCCCCAGGGATGAGACGCTATGGACAATCCAGGACTAACGAGAGACGAGTAGGCAGAAATCTAGTACTGAGGAGAGCCTGTGCAAGCAGGGGACCCCCATGGGGGGCTGCGGGGGGGAGCCCCGGCCTTGCTGGCTCACCCAGGGGGAGTTCAGATCCACACCGAGCCCTCAGTGCTGGCTCCGCTTGCGGTACAGGTAGGCGTTGCTCACCTGGTTCATGATAACCAGGCTGGTGAGAAGGGGACACAGCATGGTGAGGTACCAGGAGACGCTGGTCACCGATGCGGTGAACCACAGGGAGCACATGCCCAGCATCAGGCTGGCACAGCCCAGCAGGTAGCCCACCAGCCCCGAGGTCGCGTGGTACAGCTTGAGCTTGGCCAGCGTCCAGTTCTTCATCAGCTTGGGGTAGAGCAGGAGCACCCCCCCTGCGCACTGCCCGCTGGCATACAGCACGGTCAGCAGCCCCGTCAGGCCATGCCAGGTCACGAAGTGGGCCTTGCCGTTCAGGTGCTTGTTGTAGGTGATGATGCCCAGCCCCAGGAGGGCGCAGAGGAGGGCGAGCAGCTGGAGGGCCCAGTGCACCCGCACTTTGACTTTGCGGGAGAAGGAGCGGAGCAACGAGGTCTCCGGGGAGAATATCAGCAGGGCTTCCGTCATCAGGAACGAGAACTGGGAGAGAGAGGGCAGGGGGATTGGCACCGGCCGCCCCCGCACCTCTGCCACGGCCGGGGGCAGAACCGGGGGCAGCCCCGGCAGCCGGTCCCCGTCTTCCGGGGCTCAGCCTCCCACCGCCCACGGAAAGCAGAGGGGCCTTATCCTCTGCGCCGGGCGCGCTCCGCCAGCAGGACCCTTCCTCTCCCCGACGGGGGTGCCCATGGCGGGGGGGCAGCACGGGGAGGCGGCCG